AAAAAGTAATGATAAAGGGGGCAAGAGAAAACTTTAGGGGATGATAGATATAATTAAGACCTTGATTTTGATGATGGTTTTGTGACTATTGACAGTACTAATCCCTAAACCCATAGTTTTAACATCAAATGTATTCTATTCTTATGTCAATCAGATCTCACTAAATGGGAAGAAGGGGAAGAAGAAAGAATAGAGCTTTCTCAACCTGATAACTTTACAACTAACGTCATACTTAATGATTTCATCCCAAATTCAAAACAAGGCAAGTAAGTCCACTCACTGCTGTGTCCAGCACGGAACTAGAGATTCCAGCCAGCATGACAAGGCAAGAAAAAGCAATACAATACTTACCTGGCGGGGGAGAGACCACGACCATGAAAAGGCAATGCAGTGCATCTTTTCTTCTTTTCTTTTCTTTTCTTTTCTTTTCTTGCTGTGTGTGTGTGTGTGTGTGTGTGTGTGTGTGTGTGTGTGTGTGTTTTAGTACAGGATCTGTGGGGTCTCACTATGTAGATCCAACTCGTAGTGATTCTCCTGTTTTCAGCCTCCCAAGCACTGGGATTACAGGCGCACCCCACCACACCCAGTCTCAATCACTGTCTCAGTGCACCCCGGGGGAGCGGGGCTAGCACAGCACACCAGGGATTGAGCCCTGGCCGCTGAGCTCTGCCTAAGCAGGCACTTTAGTCCACTGAGCTATCTGGCTGGTCCTAATGCATCTTGTTTGAAATAAAAAGATGGGCTTTTCTTTATTCACTGATACACAGTGTTTTATGTAGAAAAAAGTTGGTGAAATCCACAGAAAAAGCCTTTTAGTGCTAATAAGTTCAGTAAGGATGTGGTCTACGAAATCAATATACAATTATCAATTGTGCATATTAACAACAATCTAAAATTTAAATCTTCAAATTACTACTTATATTAACTTTGAAAATATTCAATTGTTAGAATAAATCTGACAAATAATTTCTAGGATCTTACCTGAAAAGCTATGTAACATTGCTGGAATTTAAAGCAGCCTAAAGAAACTGAGAGATCTACAACAATCTAGAGTGACAGAAAGCAAGTCAGTGAGGGAGAGGAACAGCAAGAAGTGAGGGCGAGAGGCTTCCATGGGGCAAAAGGCAGCTGCTGCTTGTGGCTCTCCTGGCTTTGTGTGAACATCATTAAGCCTTCATTTTAATTATATGTGAAGTTTGTTGTATGCCAAGTATAACACAGAAAGATGTTTTGTGTTTTTAAAAAATCAGAATATGCTACTAAATCAGATTGACTATGTGTAGAAATTAGTTACGTTCCATGTGGAAATTTTAACAGAATCAGAATGCTTTTTGCCTTATTTCCTTTCTTGCTGCTGGGACAGGATACCTAGCACCCACAAGTAAAGAAGGAAAAGTTTATTTCAGCTTATAGTTTGCAGAGATTTACAGCTTATAGTTTGCAGAGATTTAAGTCCGTAGTTGGGTGGCTCAAATGCGAGATGGTTTAGCCAAAGAGCGCAGTGAGTGAAGCAGTGAGTGGCAGGCAGACAGGAGGAGGCAGTGAACTTCCTTTTCCTTTTGATTCCACTCCGGGTACCATCCAGTGGTTAGTGCCACCCACATCAGGGGGGCCTTTCCTTTACCACACCCCGAAGTATCCTAACTAATGGACTAATCCTCCTCTTAGGCCCACAACTGAGTACCCCACACCCATGATCTAGCCAAATCCCCAAAGCCCACCCATGAGTACATGAGCCTTCAGTGGGGGGAGGACGCTGAGATATAAACCACAAGGCTCCTCATAATTGGAAACCTGTTAAGATAAAAATTATACGCTTACTCCTTTTACTTTTCGGCACACTTTTCCTCATCCCATTTCTAAGTTCAGTTTGATTTCTTGATGTTAGCAGGAATAAAATAATACCAAATGGAGATAATTAAGAACAAAGAAGCAAAAGGGATTATTTAGAGCTTCGGCTGAAGAAGCAGAAAGCAGCACAGTTTTGCTAACAATGGTGTATACAGAGTACTATTTAGTCCAAAAGAAATAATCATCTGTTCTCAGCCCTCTCACAGAACAAAAACTAATCTTCATAGAGGTGAAATAGAAAGAAAAGACACAGAAAAGCAATGGCTTTGGGCGCTGGAAAGTGTTCCCAGGGAAGCTGTTTATTCACGCATGAAATGCCTGATCCTGATGGTGCTAAGGGTTGTCACTGTGGCTGGGATTTTCAGGTCCATGAATTCACCACATATTTTTCCTACTAGTCCAAGAAACCAACCTGAGAACAGCAGATTTGTATTTAGAATTTGCATTTTGCAGGCAAGGCAGGCAGACCACGCAACCACTAATGGCTATCACCAAACAACTCATGCTATGCTCATCCATTTATCAGTTGATCTGATCATATTTTCTGATCAGAAACGACTTCCTGGTGGGCTGGTGGGTTGACGCAGAGGCGGCAGGTCGAACTGCTGTGGTTGGCACTGCGTCACACTGGTGCCAGCGGAGAGGGTGTGAGGCTGCCAGCGACTCCATCCAGCCACACTTTCTAGGGATTCCTCCCACATCAGAAACATGAAGAGGACGTGTCCCTCAGCAGCCATCCTCTGCCTTTTTGGCACCAGGGACTGGCTTTCTGAAAGACAAGTTTTCCATGGATGGAGTGGGTGGAGTGGGTAACAGCTTCAGCATGATTCAAAGGAGCCGTGTGCAGGCTCAGTCCCTGGCACGGTATGGTTTTTGCTGTTGATTACATGGATTGTTAGGAGGAAGGAGGCCAGAGGATAGGTAAAATTGGGCCTTCAGTAGATTAATAATACTGTGACCTGTGTCGCAAAATGAAAGCCTGGCCTCCATTGGTCCTGGGCACTTTATTAGAGGAGTTTGGGGCCGGTGACAGAATTTGTATGTGAGCCGGGGCACAGCTGGACAGAGGACACTGACAGACGGTGGCTGGAGCTGCTCCTCAGAGCACTGTGTTGGTGACCCCACTATCAGTGGTAGCTGTGGAAGAAGAGGCACTCGGTCTCCCCTCATTCTGTTCCCAGCCCTGACAGTTTTCACAGAAATGCCTCTGAATCATCCACCAAAATCCCCTAACCTGGCACTGGTGGGGGTTTAAGCAAAGGGTAGAACATGCAGGAGCTCCAAAGAACCGGAAGCACAGCGGTGGGCCCTACAAAAACAGGAAGGATACAGGAGACAGCAGCAGGCAAAGCCAGGTATGCTTGGATTCTGTGGGACCAGAACTGGCACCTCTTGGCTTCTTAAAACTTCTGCCATAAAAACCAGTAAGATGAATATGTTATAGGCCTCTGCGTAAGCTATTTTGGCTTAGCATGGACTGCCAAAAGTAAGTTGGAACCCAGCTTCAGGGCCTCATAAAAATATTTAGAATTTACAAAATGGAGACCTACTTGGCCAGAGGCCTGTGTCTTGCAATGTGCCCCTTGGAGCCAACCACAGTGTTCAGGCCTGGAATCCCAGCTCCGTGGGAGGAGGTGGGAGGAGCGCAAGCCTAAGCCCAGCCTGCGCAGCCCAGTGACTGAAAAGCCTCATCTCAAAGTTGAAAAATTGCAAAAAGGGCCTAGAGTAATGCTTAGTTTGAAGGCCCTGGGTTCAATTCCCAGTACTCTAAAGAAGAAAAGGGGTGGGGATGGCCATCCTTGACAGGTATCACTGGTAGGCCCCAAGCTGTCACCGGAACAGCTTGGTTTTGCTTATTTCAGATGTGTCCATCAGTGCTCGCTGAAGCTCTTTCATGTATCCGCTGCGAAGTTCTCACCAGATCAGCTCATCTGCACTGCCTCAAGGACAGTCTGTGAACTTCCGCCTTTCAACATCAGTTTCCTTCCTTCACTTGCGAACTTCCTGATTCTTGCTATAACATGTGATTCTGTACTGAGCGCTGCACATTTGGGGTCCCAGGGAATTCAGTGTTTCAAAAAAGTGGGCAGTACTGAGGTCGGGCTTAGGGTGGAAGAGAGGCACTGAGTACTGACCACTCTACCACTGGGTGCCAACAGAGGGCCACAAGGCTGCTCAGGCCCCACCACATGGCCACCACGTGGGAGTGGAGATTCACAACCCCGGTGTGGCCTCACTACCTAGGGAAGGAGGTATCCAGGATGGGGCGCCTATCACCCTAGGGTAGAGGTTGCAATCCAAGCTCCCCATTGGCTGCTTGCAATATCGTGGACCAGAGTTGTCCCTCCCTACCTCCAGCTCAGGCCACGTCTGGGTTGTTCACCTGCACCCTTCAACAGGGTAAGAGTGCGACATGGACTTTGGCTAGAGTAAGGTGTATATTATCAAACCACCTTAACTCTACTACCTTATGCACATGGCTAGGGTCATAATGGCACCCTAGCCAGTTCACTTCTCTTCATCTTTCAGAGACTTTGTATTTGTGTGTGTGTGTGTGTGTGTGTGTGTGTGTGTGTGTGAATGCATGAAGGAAGCTTGAAACATACAGTAAATGTTTGCATTTTAAAAAACTATTACAGAAAGACACACAGCCATGAATGCCCTCACCCCATTCAAGCCATTCCACACTCTGCACACACTCAGCTCATCAAGATTGGCACTTTCTGAAGCGGTTCTGCAAGTACAAATTTTGTTTCTGTGGTTGTTCTGTCATTGCTGCCTCAAGGAGGCCTGAACACATTCAAAATGTTTATCTTTTATGCTCACTTTGACCTTGGGGAAGCACCAAGGTCACGTGGCACCAAGTCTACCCATCAGGGATGAGGACACACCGTGCTGATGCTACGAGACAGAAATAGCTGCGAATGCTTTGAATTAATTCCGAACTTAGAGGCAGCCACAAAAAGGCACTCACAAAAGAGGACTTCCAGATGTCCTTCAGAAAGTGGCACAGTCATGAACAAAAATCAAATTGCACAGGTAACACTTGAAAGAATTAACAACTGGGACCTCCTCTTACTGAGAAGTTTTTGCACGTCAAAAGAAATTACCAATAAAGTGAAAAGACGAGTCTGCCGGAAGCCGCATCAATGGCGTCTGTGCTGTCCTACGAGAGCTTGGTCCATGCTGTGGCAGGAGCTGTGGAGTGGTGAATGTGTTGCTAACAACTCCGCTGTGGGTGGTAAACACCAGACTGAAGCTGCAAGAGGCAAAATTTCAGAATGAAGACATTGTACCAACCAACTACAGAGGCATTGTTGATGCTTTTCACCAGATCATTCGAGATGAAGGTGCCTCGGCTTTGTGGAACGGCACATTTCCCTCGTTGCTGTTGGTCTTCAATCCTGCCATCCAGTTCATGTTCTATGAAGGTTTAAAACGGCAGCTTTTAAAGAAACGGATGCAGCTTTCTTCTTTGGATGTATTCATCATTGGTGCAATAGCCAAAGCAATTGCCACCACGGCCACCTATCCCTTGCAGACAGTACAGTCAATTCTGAGATTTGGACGTCACAGACTAAACCCAGAAAACAGAACGCTGGGGAGTCTTCGGAATGTCCTCTATCTTCTTCATCAGCGAGTCAA